AGCTTCTTATAAAATAAACCAAATTTTAATGAAGGGCAAAGCAGGGGCTTTTACTGGGGCAGGAATGCTGAATTCTTTTTGCATAAAAATATTTGAGAACTTTATGGGTTTGTGCCTCCTGTGCTGATTGTAACACACTAATTGGATTGGCAGTATGATGGTAGATAATGAAACTCATATAAAGTTTTGTTCATCTTCTGTGGTAAAAGACTGGTGCTCCACCACTGCTGACTGGTATACACAAGTGGTCAGGCTGTACCAGACCCAAAGCACTGCCCACCTCCCCTGCAAATACCCTTTCTCACACGGTGGCCTGCTGGAATCACCGGCCATCTGCCCATCACTGTGCGATCCTCTCAGAGAGATCGGAAACTGCGTAGGACCAACACCACATTTATCACATCCTGATCCCATTTTCCAAAAAATCACCCATATTCCAGGCTGTAACCGGGTGTAATGACCAGAGCTGTGGTCAGCTTATCCAGGTGATTTCCACGTTCCTGACCCTGTCCTGCTAACATAAAGGCAGAGCTGCACCTTTAGTCTGAAATGTTACGCAGGGTGCTAAAGGGAAACTGTACTCCCTTTAGAGAGTAATTTGCAACCCAGCTGTAGACAGTAATGCGTGAGGACCCAGAACTGGTACAAATGCAGACTCCTGGCTGTCTAATGCCCACAAGGTGACAAATGTCAGAAATTGGAGTGGGAAATCCGAGGCTCCAGTTCTGCCTCTGGGAGTCAACAGGGGCATCCCTGGGACTGAGCTTCACCCTTTGTGGCCGAGGCTCTCAGGACAAGAGCCAAAATCAGCCTCACCCTGTGGGCTGAAACGCCCCGCTCTTTTCCTTATACCCGAAAGGAAGCCATTAAAGGCTGGCTGTCATCAATTTGCACTTTAGCCTCCCCTGAGGCATCCGCAGCACGAATTCATCTCTCTGCGCCTCAGTCCTGCCTCAGTTTCCCTCAGATACCTGCCGCATCAGCTCTGCACGGGTCTGTGCCCTTGAAGCTGCAGCCCCTCACCCTGGAGCCACCATCACCACGTCCCTTTCCGTGTCCCTCCCAAGGACCCATTCCCATGCCCACAACAGCATCCCAACCGCTGCAGGCAGCAGAAAGCACGGCGGGAGGCAGGACATCGACAAGCTATTTGAGAACATGTTTATAAACTCTTTTCCATAAATGTTTCATCTGCCAGGCTAATGGGCCCAGTGGGGGAACAGGTTAATGAGAAGATGGGAGGCTGAGTTATACTTAGTCAAAAGACAGACATTAAAGACCAAACTGGGAGAAATCCAGACAGAGAGGCTGTTTTGTTTGATTGGCCTCCCCTGAAGTGCATTCCCATGAACTCCTCCCCAGGCGTTAAACACAGGCTGATAACCAAAGTCTGCTTCTAACGGAGGTTTCTCGCACTTCTCCACCAGCTCACCCAGCAGAACAGAAGTCCCAAACCCAGACCAAAAGCTGTGAATGGGCATTCAGACTCTCCCTGGTCCAGACTCCCTGTCCTCCTGCCCTACTGGCAGATCCCACCTCTCCATCCCTTTGGCTTACCCTCGTCAGACACGGATCCAGCTTGCCTGACTTCTTCTTGCGGCTCCAGTCCCATGGAAAGGGTTCATGACCTGGCTAAGTAGGTGCTGTGCCACCCGCATCTGTTCAAACCACTGCAAGGAGCGCACCTGGTCCCAAGCTTCCCACACCTCCTGATGGATATTTGAATGACATCAGGCAGGTGGATGAGGAAATTGATGCTGAATCTTTCTTCTGCCCTCTTTTGTGTAGTCATTACAGGATCTCTTCTGTCTGTCTGCTCTAGTGTTGGAAATCATACACCGGGACATACCTATATTTTCATAGAAAATGTTAAGTTAGACTTGATAAGGCTCTCCTTCTCCCATCTGTATTGTTAGCCACCTCCCTCAGTCATACTACTTTTTGGCTGTGCCATGATGTCCTCCTTCTGAGGCTTTTAAAAAGCTTTGTTTCAGTTGTTACATTTACCTCCCTACCTCTGGTATTCACCTTTATTTTCCAGACACTGAAATGCTGAAAAGCATATTGTAAGTTCATTAATTCATATTTCACAAATTCTGTTTTTATTACATTCCTAAAGCCTTCACATTATTTAACCTTTTGTTTGCAGTTGCGAGTTATAACAACCTATCTTCCATCCCTCTAGCTTACTGTGAGTACGGTCCAGCCCAAAAATGAACATTCAAAATCTCACTGGACACTAATTTTAGCCGACTGTATGGTTCCCGTGCTCATCAGTCCACTCCTGGCCTCTTCCCAACCACCTTCCAGGAGATGACTGCTGGTCCTGGATGTACCACTGAGTTATGGTGTAGCCACAAGCCACGTTATTCCCTGTAACATGTCAAGAGACTTTCTTCGGAAGTGCCTCCCATTCCCAGGGTCTGCTGTTGCTGTTATGAGATTGCATTGAACAAGGATGTGACTAATCACTGCTATCACCTCTTTTGACTAGCTCACCACACCCTGGATGGGAAATACACATTCAGCATCACATCCTAGGGAAAGATGGGGCTAAAAACCTCTTACTCCAGTCCTCAGCTGAAGTCCAGAGAAGGAGGAAGGAATCGGAAGGCTTTCTGCTACAGTTGAGGAAGAATTTCTCTTTCTTCTTGTTTGAGGAGGAAATACAATAAACTTCTGAAAAATAAGGTCTTGAGCCAGCACTGAAGGTGAACCTCACGGAAATTGCTTAGACACCCCTCCCCAAACACTCTGCTCTGAACTGTAGAGCTGACAGAAGAGATCGGTGGAAAGAAAGCTGCATTTAATTTAAAATGTGGTACCCTAGCTGAAACCACCACTGGTGGGTCTTACTTTGGGGAGAAAGAATAAAGTGGAAAAAACGCATCTGAAGAACGTGTCTTAAAAGAGCAGCCTTTCTCACTAATTCTTTCCTATGTTAACATTGTCAAGTATTCTAGCAAGTGGTATGGGAACTGGTAATTTAGTAATTGCTCTTTGAGCCTGAACTACTGATGTCTTATGATACATGGTAGTACCAAGCTTTTCTTTATAAAACAATGCTCTTTTGAAAACAAACAAGCAAACAAAAACAAACTCCAAAAAAGACCTCTTCAAGCTTAGGTAGGGGAGTTGGGGGGGAGAAGAGGGGGAGGGGAGGAAGTAATTTTGCTTTTTAATTTTATGACTTTTTCTAGGTTTAATGATATTTTTAATGTTTAAGGCTAGTAACACTGTTTTAAATACAAAATTCTTACAAGAAAACATACCTGCCATGCTTTTAATTAAAAACAAGACCTCTGAAATTCTATAAAGTACCCTCTTTGCCTTGCTTTTTAAGTATAATTAATTAAAAAAATAATTTTGAAATTGTTCACAGATCATATTTTCTCCCCAGTGCCATCCCAAGAGTTAAACGTCTATCCTATCACTGACCTCACCAATAAACTTGTAACGTGTAATTACATGGAGTTTCCCTAATTCATTAAGAAACCATAGTGGTTGAATATTCTCGACAATGACTTCTTGACCCATATTGAGGACAGAGGATTTTTTGAGGAGGACTGGAACTCTACATCATGTCTGCCTCAAAAGCCACAGACACTTCCTTCTTACTTTGAATGAGGCCACAGGTAAATAACCAATACTGTACTTTGACATTCAGCTGTTGTGCATCATCACGAGCACACTGGCATGCAGGATTTTTTTTGAGCTTTAATACATTTTCAATCAGCTAGGATTATACTGCATTACCAGAAACATCCTCAGGATCGGACACTGGGCTACAAACATTCTCAAGGGTAGGCATGTGGAAGAGTGAGTGTCCTCTTGGGTCTTCTCCCTGGTGATGAAATTCTCCCCGCTTAACCATCTGTACAAATGGATCACAGGTCATATAATGCCTAAAACTGAACACGCTATCTATATGCAGATATCCTCAACTTTCAGGTCACACTCATCCCCTTCATTTTGCTCCAGCTCATTTATGAGCTAGTTCATTGCATTTTATCTTAGTTCTTCTCTGGTTTTGCCTAGACTTTCAAGCTTCAAAAAATTAAAGCAGACTTTAAAAATGTTTCAGCTCAAGCTCCAGTGGAGCCTTATTTTAGTCAGCTCTCTGCCCAGCAATGAAAACACCAGTAATGGAAGTTGATTTTTCTTTATAAAACTTGAAAATAAGGTTTTCTGTAATTCAGACATTCATTATGAAAACATCCTAGTACACAGGCAAGTGTCTTCTGGGCATGATCATTAGGAGTGGCAGAAGGAATTCATTTTCTATGGAGGAAATTATAGCAACGCAGAGATTGGGAGAGGACAGATAGCATTTGACTGTCATATTTTCGCTTTTTTCACCATAGGTTTAATGTTGTGTCAGGGACTCAGAAACTTTTGGGAGGAGGATTAGTAGTAGTATTAAAATTGCTTAGCCTGGGAGTGCTTGTTGACTTTGGAAAAGACTCGTGTCAGATCTCAGTACTGACACTGCTGACTCAGGCTTTTTGCAGAGGATGTGCGATTCACCTACCTCCCCTGACAGTAACACTTTTGTTACACAGTGAGTAACACATTTCCTCTGTCAGTAACACTTTTGCTTATAGATCTGGTATTTCATCAAGCATCTTTGTTTCTGACCTTCACTTGGTTGTTACATAATTTCTAGGTCTCCTAAGTATAAGATGCTATATAATAAACATAATAAAACTGGTATTTCATACAACAAAAAGTCTAAGTGGAAGGGAACTAATAGTTCATTATGGTCACTGTTTTAAATTACACTCTAGGACAAAAAAAATTTGGTTTAAATAACTTTATTCTCACCTCAGAAACATTCATGTAGTGGACATCCAACAGAAAGCCACCCAGAGACACATTAAGACAACACTGTACAGCTGCTACCAACGTTATTACTGCTACCGGTGTTATTACTGCTACCCCAGGACCACTGATGTAACTTTTATTGCAGTGCCAGGAGGATTCAGTGTTTAATATGAAAACAAACAAACAAAAGAAAACCCACCAAAACCCAGTGTCAATGGAAGTGCAATAGATACTGCAATAGTCCAGTGGTCCTGCCTCTGCAGACAACTGCTGCCAACGTTAGTAAAGCATAAACAAAAGTTTTAATAAGACTTGCCGATAAGAGCTATCACTTATCACTGCAGACAGGAGAAAACAGAATTCAGACCATCTCAGTGCACATTCTCATGCCACCAACAGCGTCACTATTAACCCTTCCACCAGATGGCTATTTCTTTTAATTCAGAGTGTAAAATCGTGCATGTATTATGAGAGTCTGTCACTTTATATAGTGACCTACATATATCCAACTATGTCTGGTGAACAGTCAGATCAGGTGAACTGAAACTTCTGTGCTTCCTGTTAATGTGATGTGGTTGCACAGCAGTGACTCAGTGACATGGCAAAGAGGAATTACTGACATAGTGTATCTCAAAGAAAACCACTCTAACTGGGAACAGAATTTTGCAAGCTGGTTTATAATCCAGAATTCAGTGACAAACAGTTACTCAGATTAAGAAACAGGTCCAGCATTACGCACCTTCATTTACTAAGTATCATCAGTTTTATCGTGTAATGAATCCACACCACCTTGAGGATGTGTGGCCATTTTGATGGGAAGCAACATTATTTAAGGTGAAGAACTTGTACCCAGACACTGCCCACACACCAGCACTTCCACCGAGGCTGTGAGCTCAGCATCATCTCCTGAAGGTGAGTCCTTGGCCACTCAGTTATTCCGTATAACAGGGCTGCTAGAGAAGGAGGCGTTGGTTCCCATGTTGTTAACAGTAGTCTTCTAGTTAGGATCCGTCCCTAGGAAGTCAACAGTCCATGCCCCAGCCCTTCCCCAGCCCGAGGTTATGCTATTGCACATCTCCCAGGAGAGCCTCCGAGTCGACGAGTTTCCTGTTGGAGTGGGACTATTGTCAAGAACATGAGATTTATGGGGCCAAAAGGAGACCAAACAAAATAGCTACAGACTAGCAATTTGGATGCTGTTTTCCTGGTTTATCTGTTTTTAGCCACATGTCGTGTAAGCTAAATTATGTAAACAGGAGCCAGCTTCCCAGTGGAAACACGAAGAGTATGCTCCTCACGAGAGCACTGTTCCGGGAACTCACGGACCCACTCTGGCCGGGGGGACGCCGAGCCTCGGCAGGGTTCCACCAGCCCCACAAGAGACCTCGGGGGGAGAGCTGGGCACCCGGGCTCTCCAGAACAGGGTGCATCTGCAAATGCCTGTATGTGTGTGTCACACCAACTCAGCGACCAGAAAAGGACCCAGGAAAGAAGAAAACCAGAAGCACAGGCTTTCTGGATCCTGTCAGCCATTCCTGTTCTACTTCAAGTCTTGAAGTAGGTGCTTTGGAGACACACCAGCACATGACATTATTAAATAAAGTCACCTTGAACAAAAACCTATTTTTTCTAATGTATATACAGACACTTATATGTATATACATACACAGACACACATACAGTATGTGTGTATATCAGATATAAACACAGTTTAAAGGAAAAGCTTCAAGACCCACTCAAAACCTGCCCAGGTCACTGCCTTCCTTACCTCAGGAAAGGTAAGCTGGCATAAATGTGAATCAGTGACATTTACAAAGCTGATGCACACTTACCAGAAGACTTTATCAAGAGCTCTGAAGAAAGTGGGGAGTGAGAATCTTCAGTTGTCCTTTTCCCCTCTGCCGAAGAACTGTCTGCACTAAGGAGGATTTGCTGCCAGGACTGTGGCCACCAAACTCCCCCTGCAACACGCAAGCTCATACCAGCAAATGAGTGCTTTTGCTCTTATACTGTTATTCCAGCCCGATGAATGGAATAAACGGATCCAACAAAAGGCGTGTAAGCTGTAAACACTATCAGGCCTTGCTTGCCTTCCCAAAGGACTGCCAGTCTCCTGGCGAATCTTGTGCGGTTCTCAGTCCTCCACCCTAACAAGACGCTGCAGGACCACCGAGCACCATCCATCAGAGTTTCTCAGGGCTCTTCCCGAACGCAGCACGTTCAACACGCCAAGTTCAGATCAACTGGGCAGGGCCCAGTCACTCCACAAGCTTCTCCAGAACGCAGCCTCCAAAACAGAAACCTCGCAAGGTCAGTTCACATCTGACATGGATGAACTGTAGTAAATATCAAAATATTTAGGAAGCTCATTCACATTTTTAACATGGAACTCCTGATGTCCTTCTTCAACACAATATTAAACTCGAATCAAAAAGCAAAATAAAACTTGGATTTCTGTGAAACTGGAGTTTTCTGGTTACCTACCATCCACTATCCACTCTCTAGCTTTCGCTTTCGGTGTGATCACTGCTATGTGAGTAACACTTTCCCATCAGGTTTCAATGCAGAGCAAAGCCTAAGAACTGACTGTGCTTCAAAGAGTTAACCGCAGCTCCACCGCCCCCCTCACTCTCCCCAAGGCTCCTGTCTGCAAAGGTTTGAATAACTGCTGGAATCAGGACGTTAATTTAGGTCGCTTCACATGAAAATTACCATTTGGCTTGTTTTATCACACATTCGTGTGCATCTAGGTAATGGAACAATTTGGCTTCAGGCTACGCTAAAACTTGGTCAACAAGGGCACAGCAAAACTTCCACTTGCATCAGATGGCAATGGGGCTCTGCTGACAGATTTTACCAGACAGCAAGAACTGCTCTGACACCAGAACATCAGGTGCCAGCTCAGCCTTGCAGGAACAGGCAGATATAATAAAGCAATATGGCATTATGCAAATAAGCACACTCTAAATTGTTCAAAGAAGCTATGCTTCCTGCCCCATCTTCAAGTACTAGAAATTTGCTTGTCGAGTATTATGGATAGTATTTGGAAATCCCTTTTTCCTCCACTGCTATCTGTCAGAAAGCGATGACACCAAGAGTCAGATAAGGAAAACATCTTAGTACCTGGACTTGAAGAATTTGTGAGTGAAGGAGAAAGCTGGTGGCTGGTAAGTAACTTCGCTTCCTTTTACCCTTCTGCAACACACACTGGGCTTCAGGCTGTGGCCCTTAGGTCCAGGGGGAACTCAGGCTACCTGCAAGGCATCAGGGAAGGCAAACCTGTTTTCAGGAGGTTGTTACTCACTACATAGGGATCCATATGAGCAATACAGAAGACATATGGATCTAGTCATTGAAAAAGTCTGAAAAATCCCTATACAACAACATACCCATAGTGATTTAAGTATCACTGGAAGAGCACTGGGTGGCCTTGGGACTTAATCCACACTGTGTGTCCCAAAAACATGCCTTGTTGCCTACACCTTCCTTAAAAGCTATCTAGCTCTGATGGCTAAAGAAACTTGACTGCTTACATTTGTAAGGTTAACAACATTTATATACTTCACACTATGTTTCAGAACTCACCTCAGTATGGCATTAAAATTTGAAAGTAACAACAAAATATTATTGCAAAACTAATGCATTTTAGCAGGATTTTTTTAGCAGGATGGGATTATCCACAATCCCAGACGTCCTTCCAAACTTCCCTGCAGAGCTGGAAAGCCCCAAACAATTCTTCTCAAACTGTTCAATCCAGTGTTTCAGGGGTAATTTCAGCATTTTAAGTAGAGAAGGCTGATGCATCGTGAAAGGCACTGGAAACCGAGACTGAAAAGAAATGAAAGCCCAGAGCCATAAAAGGATGCAAGTGCCTAAATACTACCTTGCTGCTACTGTAAGCGTTTAGCTAAATCCTCAAAACCCTCCTCATGCCCAGGGGCATCCAAACCTCACTGGAAGAGTTGCCTAAGTGCTGAGAAAGGTGCTTCATCCCTCCTGGTGAAGTCATTCCACGACTGATTTGGCCAGAGAAAGGAGGAAGAGGATGCTAGAGTGAGCATAGCTTTGGGAATAGGGAGATCTTTGTTCCAACCCCTAGGTCACCAACCATTTTTATCCAAAAAAAGATTCAGTAGAAGAAACCAAGAGCTCGCTTCTCATTCTCGCAGACAGGCAACAGTCTTATTATCTGGCAAGATGGGAGGTTTTTGAGACGTGACAGACTGGAATCAAGTCTGCTCTTTGTGGGCTTGCTGGGGGAATGCTTTATTGGCACGAATACTGGGTAAAGGAAAGCCTTTTCCCAGCTGGCAGCAGTCAGTGAGAAAGAGCTGGCTTCTTTACTTGTACAGAGGGTTGAGAGCTGTAAACCCCCAGCAGTGAGATCCACTCAGCGGGTATACGCAACTTGGGAACAGCAGCTGAAAGCATTCAATTCAACACTTATTGACTGGGTCCATTATTAATGTGCTGGTTTTGTAAATCCTGACCTTAAGTAGACAAGATCCCAAAGCTGTTTATTCCTTAGATGCATCTCCTATTGGCAACTGCCTTCCTCCTTGTTTATCTACTTGGTTTGTCCAAGGCTTCTAAGATTTCCTTTGAAAACAATACACATTCACTGTACAGCACGCGCTTGTAATTATTAATAAAGGGTGCACTTTTGAACCTTTTTTCCATGTTTAGCTTGCTGGAAAACACAACAGGAAACATGTTTGAAGGTTGGTCTGAAATATTCAACAAAACAAAACAAAAAACCCTCTTCAGCTAAATAAACAACAATAGCAGAAAGCAGGCATAAAGAATTTTACATCTGCATTGAAGACTACAGAAGAGTACCCTTCAGAAGCTTTGCACTAGCATTACTCAAAAAGTGTATTTTGTCTACATTTCTCTTAAATACTTCTGTCCAAAAGTAAACTCAATTAGAACATTTCAGGCAAAAGCTAAAATTTGCTCAGATAGAAAATAATGTCACGATGATGTGTAGGACACCAGGGGCTTCCATTTTCATCTCTAAATTGGGTTTGTACCCCCATGCAACAAAAATGTCTCCCTCCTTTACCACGCCTGTTGTCTCCTTGGCAGAGTATCAATATACACGTACCATACAGCACACATCTAACAAACTCAGAGCTACCCAGATGCACCAGACTCATGGTGCAATACTGTAAGAAAAATTGGCACCTATGCTGTTATATCATCTATGACTTACAGGCCTCAAAATCAGGCCTGCACAAAAACTCTGACAAAGCTGTCGGATAGCCAGGAATCCCAGGCAAACCTAGAAAAACAAAAATAAAGGATCTAAAAAGAGGACACAGTTCATAAAACTCAAATTACAGGTACTACAGAGGAGAAGTAATGGATGTTGAGAGCTCTTGGCCATGAGAACCACAAGAATGTGTTGAATTTGAAGAATGTAGACAGAAGACACACAAATTAACCCACCTGCAATACACTGTGGCAACACTCCTTCCTAAACAAAAATATTTCCATTTTTTAAGCCATTAAGTTTTCCACTATAAAACTATCATTTTAGAGGAAAACTGGCAATTTTCATAAAGGTTGTTGGACACAAATACAGTTCCCCTTTCAGTAGGAACTTTCTGACCAGTTATAACTTACATATTAAGTGCATGCCACAGAATAATCCCAGAAGTCCTCATGATAAAATAAAATACCTTGATTTGTTTCAAACAACTCCACTGGTAGGAAGCTACTGCAATGCATAACTTCTGGAAGAAGTGGACACTGTTTTCTAACATGGTCGGTGCTAGATAGCACTCACTCTTTAAATCAACACCTCATTTGTTGAGGACTGGCCCTTTGGGCACTGCAGCCTTCCAGCCTCCATAGCATCCATCTGCTCTTGGTCACAATTCCAAGTATCAACATATCTAGCTTTAGTAACGTCTTCTTTCTAAAGCTGAGTTCCAAGGTAACATTTTGTCTTTCACAAGTCCACAGATAGTCCAGTTGAACAAGTGAAACACAGAACTAAACAGAGAAGAGCCAACATAATAGGCTCTACCAACTTATCTGGCATAACTTGAACAGAAATCAACCAACCTCTTTTATTTTCAGTAATATGCATACATAATTGTGTACAAAATAGAAATGTAAGCAAATGTGTACAAAATTCAAATTGTTCTTGTATAAAATTTCCAAATGAAGTAGTATTAAAACTTGAAGCCACACACGAAGAACCAAACTGCCTGCTAGCCACCTATTTCCTCTACTTCATGTTAACTTCTTTGCATCACTTGGAAAGATAAAACAAGCTGTCAGCGTAAATCACAAACCTTTTTCACTGTGACAATCGTAACATGTATGTTGGTCTCCCAGAAACGGGCAACTAGGAGGAGAGGTAATTAAAACATCAAAGTCAAGAAAAAACATTCTTCTGAGCTTACTTTAAGAGATCAACTACTCCTAAACACCTGAGTTTGAAGTGAGGATGTGGAAGGCCACTGTTTAAGGTGGCTGAGGTTGCTTTTTCTAGAAAAGTTGAAGTTAATACTAAACACAGGTCTCGCCCACAAAAAGACAAAAGTTCATGTCAGTACATCTGATGACTGCAGTACTGTACACACTGAACTCTAATAGTCATCCTGGCCAAAAAACTGTGGACAATGAACAAACCCTCGCGCTTAGTGTTCTTGTCTCAAACTCCTGTATGTTCCATGTCAGCTTCATTAAGAAATAATAAGATTTTTTGGGGAACAGGTTAAAAGCAGTAAGTAGTAAAAGTAACTTTTTGTTACAGCACTATGTTGTACTGACAATTCATACAGTAACATAAACAAATATACCACAGTTGCCTTTAAGATAGGTTAAAATCAAGCAACTGAGATGTTTGGTGAATGATGGTGTTGCCCCTGAATACTGTCCCAGGTCATACCACATGACTGCAGCAAAATACCTTGAAAAGTAACACACAGGTTGCATAAAAAAATAATTATCTCAGTTTCAAGAGGTGCCACTGAAAACAAACAAACAAACAAAAAAACCCCCAAAATATGTGGCTGTTGTGACACAGTGAATTAAGACATAACTCTCAGATATAAAGGACCTACACTTTCAACACTGGTTTAAATATTGAAATTTTAAATTGGGATGGCAAGTCCTAAAAGTTGGGCCCTATTAGTGAAAGGATGCTGCATGATATCTACAATCACAATTTTTTAAAATGTACACTACAAACTATAAAAAAGAAATAATTTTACAGAACAGTTTCTATACAACAGCTGGGAGAGATTATGTCTTGCCCCAGAAATCCTTCCTCTTCTGAGCTCGTTCCAGTATCTGAGATGCAAGTGAGCTAGATGCTGCTGAGCGAGCAGAAATCTGAGACAACCTGTCATCTGTGGGGAAAGCAACAAGGAAGATTAAATACACATATTAAAGCACAATTAACATTCATGGCAGACTTTGAAAGTGCAAATATTTTTATGCCCTCTTTCACAATGGATGCTAAAATAGTACCACAATACACTTCAATTCTATTACTTGGTAACTGACATGCTGGAAAAGAATCTCACTAGAAAGCTACTAGGATGCTAAGGTAAGTTTAAGAGAGCTACATGCCCAACTCTTGACAAACTCCAGAATGAGATCCCTACTCTCACCTGGGAATTGCCCAATTCTCCAAGTCATCTCTACATTTACTCTCCTCAGAAATTGTTCCTCTGCCACTGAAGTCTGTACAGACCAGACTTTGATAATATATTCATGAAAGCAACCCACCTCTTCAAGCAGAGCGGACAACCATAGAATAACGCATAACTAAAACATCAGAACCTGTGCTGCCACAAGGGCCCTTCTGTGCCAAACCCAGCTAGTGTCTCACAAGCTGTTAGAAGAAATGTGCCTTCTGAAGAAAACAGGATGTTTAACACAAAGACAACAAGAAGCATGCTTTAAAAATGTACTTTTGAAAGGTCTTCCTTTTGAATACAGGGTCCACTTCGCACCCAGCAGAACTCTTAAAATTAAGCAGCCTAGATGCTGCTTCTCTGATAAAGCACATTATACTTCAACATCATTACTAAAATGTTGCTACAGCTCTGTCAAGATGCTCTCTATGAAAAATGACACCCATTCTCCTGCAATGGATTAAAAAGAACTGTATCACTACTTTCCAGCCCCCACTACCAACAAAAAAACCAGCAAAAAATTCCACAACTCAATCCGAACAGGACCTGTACTTTGTCAGTGTTTCAATTAACTTTTCAGCAGCATTTCTGAATTTTTGAAATACAGTGATCCAAATGCCCATAACAGGCTCACACAGTATGCGTACAACTATATTCCCATGTATGAGAAAACTCCTAACTGCACATCTGCAAACAGATATGTCATTGGATAACTCCCAGTTTTGTATGTATATGAACAAATACGAGCACAAGAAGTATCTGTAAGCTGGTACATTGCATCAGTTTCTGAAAGCTCATATATCATCACTCAGCTCATAAGAAAAAAAAAGAAAAAGAAACAGCAGTTACAGCATTTAGTCTGTGTGCAACACGCTTGTGGGAAGCTGCAGAGTACTATAGGATTTTGCATGTTTTACATAGATACACAGATGCTTGGCTGAGCCATCTGCACAACCCACATATTTTCCAGCCAACTACAATGAGTAAAATAGAGAATCAGCCTAAACCTTGGTTAAAACCAAGGAGCAAACAAGTGTAAGGGGTACAGAAAAAAGCTTTTGGTTTCTCTGGGGTATACCTATAAATAAACTGCAATCAGATATAAGCTTGCTCTGCCCATATTCTAATCTGAACCAAACACAGATGATTGTGACTAGCACAGCACCACACCAAGCTCAACCTCATACACCATGCTAAGAAACAACGTATAGCAGCTCAAGCTAAGGAGGCTACAGGGCCTTTGGTTGACTCACGCGAGTGAAAGAGTTTACTTGTGTCTGTCCACAAAAGGGCCAAGAAGATGCACTGGTGGACCGTGCACTGGCTGCTCCCCCAGATTAACTTTACAGTAAACAGAAAAAAAGGCCAAACCAGCAATCAGAGAAACAGGATGCCATAAGTGCCCCTAATACACTGAGCAGAGGAACAGGTGTGAAAATTAAAGTCAGTAGAATCATTGCATGCTGTGTATCTGGTGCTGAAGTCTCACAAACAAAATCTTTTTCTTAAGATTTCTGGTACTTTTAAAGTTGCATCCAAAGCTACTGCAGCTGCAACCTGAGCTGTCATCATTTTGCAGTTTTCTTCTGTTGCTATCAACACAAAGGCTTAAAAAATGTGCAGGGAGGAAATGATTTTAGGTATGCAACTGAGCAAGCTATATTAACCATATTGAACCACAATGGTCTATTTAATTTTCAGCCGCATTTAATGTTTATTCATGCTAGAATATACCTTCATATTCATACTTCAGATCACTAGGATGAACATTTTCAAATTATTTTGATGAAATGCAGTAGTTATTCATGCAATCACATAAACCAGTATTACTTACTGCATTCAGAGACCTCTCACATTACTGCTAAAGTTAAAATTAATCTAGGTAACATACACATGATATACAACAATACTTTAGGATGAGAAATACCTTCATCATTATAGCTTCTTTCCTGAAGGGGTAACTGGAAAGATCTCATTTTGGGATTGCCAACATTCCCTAAGACAAAAAGTCAAAGGCACATTTTTGAATCATTTCAAACAGACAAAGGATAATATTTCATTTTACAACGTTTAAAAAGGTTACAACATTATTTCCAAAACATGAGTCTTATAAATAGCAAACATAGCAAAAACTCCATGAGATTCTTTCACTCTAAGCTGAGGTAAAATAAACTTACTTTATTCTTCTCAAGGCACCTATCTTTGGTAGATAATAAAAGTTAGTGAACTGCACTTGAGGTGCAGAGCTAGAACACAGCACCAATTCTAACCTCTTTCCAAGGAAATTCTCTGGATTTCACCATCCCACTTAATCTGACAACTACTTGTTCCATTCCAGAATGGAAATACTACTGTAGTTTAGGTAATCTTTATAATTAAAGGACCAAGAATTGTGCGACCTTAAGCAACTACAGAAAGCCTTTCTGGAATGGAGACTTAAGCACATAAACTTTATTTTGACTAAGGGGTGAAGGATTCTTTTCTTTATCAAATTTATGCCCCTAGTAACCCTAAACATTGTTAAAAAAATCTGTGAAATACTCCAGCACAAATTCCTCCTCTGCCAGGAAATGGCTTTTCTCAATATCCAATACATCTTTTATAGATGGCTTCTTTGTTTCCATATCCTGCAGAAATATTTAAGGAGCTTATCTCTCAGACATCCACAACTCCTGCAAAATAATACCACACTGTAAAGGTCCTCAGTTACACACCTGTCGTGGTTTAACCCCAGCCAGCAGTGAGGCACCAGACAGCCACTTGCTCACTTCCCCTGCTCCCAGAGGGATGGGAAGGAGAATCAAAAAAAGAAGTAAAACTCATGGGTTGAGATAAGAGCAATTTAATAACTAAAGTAAAATAAAATACAACACTAATAATATAATCATAATGAAAAGGAATATAACAAAAAAAAAAACAAACCAAAAAACAACCAAGAAAAGACAAGTGATGCCCAGTGCAACTGCTCACCACCTGCTGACCAATGCCCAAGCAGCGATCCGCCTCTCCCGGCCAACTCCCCCAGCTTACATACTGAGCACGACATTCTATGGTATGGAATACCCCTTTGGTTAGCTCAGGTCAGCTCTCCTGGCCATGCTCCCTCCCTGCTTCTCGCGCACCTGCTCGATGGCAGAGCATGGGAAACTGAAAAATCCTTAACTTAGGATAAGCGCTACTTAGCAACAACTAAAACATCAATGTGTTATCAACATTATTCTCACACTAATCCAAAACACACTGTACCAGCTACTAAGAAGAAAATTAACTCTATCCCAGCCGAAACAAGGACAACACCACTGTTGGTAATTCCAGATGGAAAAGTGTCACAGCATCCAGTTGTAGCCTAAAGATTAAAAATTACCATTGTTCATGCTAAACCAAATTATTCTCATAATGAGTAAGTACTTATTGAAATTAATAAGGCAAAATTAGACAACGGTAGCAATTTCCATCCTGCAGCACTCTAACACAGCAAGTTAATACACAAAACCCACCATTATGCTGGAATTCTGGATCCTTGAGAGTCCCTTGAATACGACGAGAGGGACTCCAGCAAGGCACAGAGCAGCTTTTGGCTGACTTCAGCACAGGAGGCATAGAGGAATGCTCTTGATGGGCTGAAGCAAGAGGAACTTGCTCATCAGAAACACTGTTAGGAGGCCACTGATCCTGCCTAAGTGGCAGAGGATCCAAAGTTCCCAGCCCAGCAGGTGGAGAGGTAAGGAGTGAAACAGCTTCCACTTCCACATCAGGCTAAAACACAATAGAAAGGAAAAAAAATAACCAAAAAACACAAAAACCCAACATCTCATATACAGCCTTCCAGTACAGATCCCCACATATGCAGCAAATGTTAGCTTTACACTGTTACACTTCTCATGAGGATACTGGAAGAATAAGTATTTCAAGCTTGTGAGACAGCTTAAAGAAAATCTATTCCTAATAACAAGTGTTTAACATGGTCTGAAAGTAATCTAGTCAGGTCAAACCAAAAGCTTATTTTCTTCACAGCAAAAAACTGTGTTCTTAGATTTTAAACCAACATAACCAACTTCTCGGGCAAGTGTGTCTGCTTCTGTTACGGAACCTACTACAGAGGACATATGCAGTGAAATGCTAGCTACCTTTGTAGAACACTAAGCACAACTTGACAAAAAACCACAATTTTGAGAGGAAGACAGTTAAACAACTCCTAAATGTTTCTATTTTTCTTTTAGTAACTATGCAAGCTGCAAAGTAAAAGCAGCACAAAAGTAAAGGAAAGAGAGAATGAAACTATTATGGCACATTTACCTATCGTGTACATAGACACCCAACCTCTCCTTCTTGAACTTCTTTCAAGTCAAGGAATCTAGAGCTGTGCCCTGTGCCAGTGGCAAGCTACAGTAACATTAATGGGGAAATCGACAGCTCTTGATAACAACTGTTTTTTGTTGTTTTTTTTTAAAAAACAGATCCTGTGCATTTAGCAGAAAAAGACAAAATAGAGCTCATCCAATCTCACTCCAATAGTCTCAACTCCTTTGCTTGATTCCCCCCTAAAAATTATTTATTCAGAAATTGGCCATTTTAGTCATAGATGCTGAGAATTTTAGAACAGTAAATGACAACTCAGGAAAAAGATTTATTAAATAAATTATTCACAATTACTTAAAAAGCACATTCCTAAAATGCATAATGGTAAGTCTCTTTCCTGGCTCACCTGGAAGGACCTTCTTTTGGAAGCTTCTCTTACACTTTGCTTAGCTGAAGAAGGGTCTGTTCCTAAACCTCGTGTTCTCTGCTGTGAAGACGAAGACTTGAATTTAGGAGGAGACACTAGAACCGCACCTCCTATTGTAGTGAAGAAGATGAAAAATGCTTTATTAACTTAAATAACCTAATAAATTAATTCATACATGTCTTTTTTTTTCTTTCATTCTTGAAATACTGCTTTGCATTTAAAAGTCTTTTTACCAACAGTTGGGGTAGTGAGATCATGATGAGTCCTCTGAGCTCCACCAAGCGCTCTCAGCTTTGGAGTAGGAAGCCTGCCGCCTATCCTCGAGGATACAGAAGAAGAATTTGACACAGCTGCAGAAGAATTCAATACTAAGGCATTCTCACTGCAAAAAAAATGAGCAATGATTAAAGGATTAGCTAAGGACTGAGAAGCCTTGCACTCGAGCTTTTTGTTTCTAATACATTCCTACAATGAAGCCTAAGGCAAGACAGTTAGGGCCATAAAACACCAACAGCCTGTAGTTAAAACATCTGCTTGGAATGGGGAGTCCTGGATTCCAGCCCTTGAGCCTCAGTTTCTGTATTTATTTTTTTTTTATTTAACTGGATAAAATACATAAACAGTCTCAAGGTGCAAATTCAGGCTGCCTCTGTCCCAATACACCTTGAATGTATTGCTACACAGTAGCAGAGACTCAACAGGAGGGCTGGAAAGAGTACTCACCCAGAAAAAACTTTGAATGTGGTTGCCACCTTAGAGGTGGGAACGTGGGTTTGACTCTTTTCAGTCGACCTGATGGAACTGAAACCAAGTATCCCACACTTATGTAACCGCTCTGGCCCCCAGGTTATTAAATAAATCAGCGCCACCACTTCTGTCTTCCTCCAGATGCATTTCAAAAGGACGTGGCAGCATACCCACACTGTGCAAGGAACCTGATCCTGTCAGTGCATGCTAGACATGCTCTGAGGATATCTAGGCAAAGAATGCCTCATTTCTAGCTCTCAAGCATGCTTAGATAACATGCAAGTGTTAAGCTGCTCTGCATGGCCAAGTCCAGAGCATATCTCAGCACACACATTGCAGGATGACAGAAAATCGTCTGTGTCAATCAGAGATACATTTATAAACTAGATCACCTCTAGAATCAGACAGAAACTTAAGAAGGTTTTCAGGATGATGGTTTTGAAAGCCTGCATTTAATTTCTATTTGAGTCTAGCATCTCAATCTTTCTTTGCCTGGGTTTGCATATAGGATATTACCCCCAAAGGAGACAATTACAATTCCTTACCTTTGATTTGTGCTGCAAGACCAAAGGTAAAACCCAATGAGGAATACAAAACACTTAGATGGTATGGTAACAAGGGCCAAAGTTATTCAGATTTAAGTATCTACCAGACTAAAACATTGTTCTACCAAAAAAAGTATGCAGAATTTGCACAGTAAAAAGCCTGAGACTTCTGTAACTAGATATAATTTGGATCTTTCAACTGTCAATTACAGTACTATGCACATACTGAATTTCTCTCTCATATTTCTACACCTTTTTCCCACCTGTGTTCAGTAACATAATCACCAGTAACTACTGGATGCTAGTTATTTTTTCTTCCCATCCTTCATCTTTGCGCATGAATTTTTTTTAAGAAAAAAAAGATGCTAAGTACAAGATCAGCATGTAGTCTATCCTTTCAGTCCTATCAATCTTATGCTGTCAATTTGAAGGAAATTGTGAGCTTTAATTTTCACTACACTTGGCTGCTGTGTAGTGAACAGCCTGTTCTGAGAGGCCCATACTGCAAATTATATAGTTTTGGAACAAAAAAATCAGAATTGTTCATGCTTCTACAAACTTCTGTCTTGCAAGTTAGAAATCCAGTGTTGTAGATCCATTTCCATCAACCACCTCAGTGTCTTGAACTTTCTCATTCTTTCTAATACCATTAAAAACAAAGTAGTCTCACACCAACTTATATTCTCTTAAGTAAATCTGATTTTAAAACAAAAATTAGTTAACCTACAGATTTCTTAGATGTTAGAGGAAAAAATTACATGTATACACCACAAAAATGTTAGGTTTTACCCTTCAATTTTCTTATCTTCATTGGCATCATTATTGTTTTCTTCTAATTGCTGAGCCACAACTGCAGCGTGCTCATCTTGGGTTTTTTCCTCTTCTGTTGATTGCCAATTCTCCCTTTCTTCAGTACCTTCTTGTTCACCCCAAACTAAACGCCTTTTGACTGGAACAGTTAAAGCATCTGACATGTCTTTCTTCTCAGTGCTGTCCTGGTGTGGCTGTTCTCTGGAGTCAGGTTGCTGCAGCATTTTGGGGCTTGGTGCAGTCTCTTTTTCAGAAACTCTAGGTAACAAAGAAAGCAGTGTTTCATACCACTGATTTGCACAATTTACACACGTCTACGCAGAACACATTCATCCAGTTCAGTCCTTTGCCAAAAGTACAGCTCAGATATTAAAAAGTGGTACAGTTGACATGATGAATGGTTAAATTTCCACTGAAGTTTTAACTGATGTTTAAGCACAACCCATTTTCAAACTAGATTCTATGAAAACTCCTTCTGGATCACCATTTCTAAAAATGAAATGTAAAATTAAGGCTTTATTTCCAATTTAAACAACAAGTTCGATTATCAGACGTGCTCAAAAAATAACTAGTTCCATGCATACAGACTGTCTGATGGCACAATTTTGAAAGCCAAGCAGTTCAGAAGACTCCTCTTTAGGCACAACTTTTGAAAGTCTTAAACTCTCAACTGCTCACAGAAATCAGTGCAAATTAGCCCAGTGCACAGAAATGAGATCAGCAAGAGGATCTGTATTTCACAGGCAAAAACCAAACTAGTAAACCAAAAAATTTACACCATACTTAATACCACACATTATAGTGTAATAAATACTCTTTTACATGTCAACCCCCAACCCTTATTAGAGCTACAGTCATGCAAATGGATAGATCTCTCCCATACACACAAGCAGTGCGCATACAGCAGTCTAAGTGGACTGCAGACAGAGGCATCCAAGGTACTGTTTTTAAATAGCAGATCTCAGAAAAGACACAAATGGTGCTTTTTTTCTCCTTGCTTCAGCAATAGCTATCTGTACATTTTACTAAAACGCTAATTCTGAATTTTCCTAGCAAGGGATTTAATATCTGATGGCCTTCAAGGAAAGTAGAAAATGTATGTACACCATTCCTGACAAGAACATTGATAACATCCGAGGAGGCAAAACGTATTTCATATCATTCCAGTGGAAAGAAGAGTATTACTTCATGACCCAGTGTGAAATTCCTCCAGACTTGATGAGACTGAGGTTGCCATGCTAAATATGCATTTGTGGAGAATTACAAAGGAGTATCTTCCTCTTCTTTCAGAAGACTGGACTGCGCCTCATTTTCTATTTGAGCACAGATCAACTGATGTATCTGTGAAAAGGTAAATGCCCTCATCTGTTCCAGAGAATTTACATATCACAGAAACACAGAACAGCCCAGGTTGGAAGGGTCTTCGAAAGACCATCTGGTCCAACCTTTCTTGGGGAAAGGGAGCCTAGATGAGATTACCTAGCACCCTGTCCAATCGCATCTTGAATACAGTCAAACATCCAAGATCTCACAGCTATGCTAAGCCTATATTCAGCATTTTGCTCTGTTTCAAAGCTACAGAATAACAGGCAGGAATGACCACCTTACCCGGCAAGATCTAGTGCTCTGATGCTGTTGCTGATGCCTTCTTCTGAACTGGAATTTGAGGACACATCCCAAAGACTGTTATTATCGGACAGGATCTGATTGAGATGGTATCGGGAGAAGTGTGTTCCTTCTACTCGTTGCCTGTAAGCTTTTGCTCTTTCTCGAAGTTCTCTCACCTGCACATCAAGGTTTCATAAGTTGCATGTCTGTTTAAAGTTCACTAATAGGCTATAACATTATAACATATTTGCATTAGCTAATGGCAGCCAAAGGAGAAAGGCAAGTTACTCATAATACAGGGCCACCCACAGCACTAACATTGCATGCCGCAGTAAATGCAACAAAAGGAAAGAAAAAATAACAAAAGCGTGTATTTAGTAAGCATGTTTGAGCCATGAAGCCAAAGCAAAATTGTCATTTACTCATTCAATGAGCACAAAAAGTTATGCAGCAACTATGAATAAGTGTAGTGCTGGATTCTAGTTTTTCCATCAGCGCTCAGACACAGTGCTCCAAACATTCAAACAGGAACTTAGATGCAACCAACCTCCATATACCACATGGAATTTAAGGTGTTTTGAGATGCCTAAGGAGAGGAATACAGAATTATTTTAAGATTTCTTATTTTTCTCTCAACACCGTATTGTTATTATCACCCTTGTAACATTATTTCAGTCTAAGTAAGAAATTAAGTACTAAAAACCTGTCAACATAGCTCTATACTGCCTCCCTGAGATTCAGTAAAAAGCTGTAAAACAAATACATCAGCACTGGTATTTCACCAGTCTTTGCCAAGCTTGCAGAAGTTAGTTTAGATTTCTAAGCCTTAACACTCAAAAATACATTCATCACACACAAATTTATGATTATTTCAAGTCAATAGGTCTATGTGCATGTGTAATACTGAGTTTGTATGCTGTGAACACCACAACTGTCTCTAGCTACATTAATCTTATCTCAGTGAGGAGGTGATGATTATGTAAGAACTCTTGGTGCTTCTGTATGTAAGACATAATATCAAAAGCATTCCTTCTAGGCTATCAGTAACTGTAAGAATGAGATGTCAGGTTTAGCCTTAAAAAAAAAGTGGTAAGCCCTCTCTTTAGATGTTATACTGCTGATTTTACACCATCATTTTTATGGTTAAAACTATTTCAACACTCACACTGTCTTGTGTCCTTCACCCAAACACAACTGAAGTGCAGGAAGAGAAAGCAACAACAAAAGTTCTATGTTTAAATGATCAAAAATAACTTTGTGATATTGTTGTGTGAATTCTGGCTCACTAAAAATGGCTCACAGGAAATAAGTATTTTGTCAAAGAGCAGGAAAGTAATACTGACACCTCCTCTAGCACATTTTCATAGCTTTTCTTATTTATTCTTCTTTCATGTTAGATTTCACATCGTTCTTCCAGCAAGGAACAGAGTTAAGTGGGCCAAATTCCGCTAAACCCCCTAAAAGTAACTGGATGTAGCAGATGGAAATCTACTTAGCCCACACTAGCTAACATCTCACAATATGACCCAATAAACTTCCAAAGAATAGCCCATTAAAATATGTACTTATTATTTTAAGATGAGAGTTTAAAGTTTGAGGTGCAATTGATCTACTGGATTATTCACTTTAAGTAGAAGAATGAAAAATTAATTATGATAGCCACAACAGAAGGAATATAAATCCAGAGCAACAGGACACTGCAGGGGGAGGAAGAATACTATGTCTCCAGCAAATTGTGAAGTACAAAGGACAATCGTCTCCTCCAGTGACTCAGCAGGCAGCATTATCTCAGCAGGACACAGGCCCCAGAGAGTCCTACTGTGATTGTGAATTGCCCACATTAATTTTTCAAAAGCATAATTCAAAGAGATTTTTTTTCATTTGACTGCTGAAAAGCAACCCTTAACAATATATTGTAGAGGTCTAAGAGTAATCGCTACAGCTAAGGTCATATCAGGATTCCATTACAGCCTTTGCCTGTTTGGGCTCAGAACTTCAGAAAGTCTGCTTTGGACACAAAGTTACGCATGTGCAGTCACAGCTGAGGGAGAAACTAGACTGAATCAGTCAGAGCTTATCATCTAATCACGTATGCAAAAGATGTTCTGTAGGCACCTTCAGCGGGGGTGAGTCTCAACAAGCCATCAGAGGCAGAGGTTAGGTACAGCTTTGAAGAACATTTCTCTTCATGTGAGTGCATTAGTACAGGAACATGCATGGAATCATGTAGAAACCAAAAGGACTGTTGGGCAGCCTATACTGTGAATGGCCAAAGTACCTTTGTTGCTTTACAGTAACACCGATGCACTTGACACTTTTTCCAAGTAATGAATACTTTCATTAATCTGCTCTTTACATATTTATCAAATGGCTAGATTCTTTTTTATGTCTGAACTGTGAATGAAATATTTTATTCAGTCCTACTCTTTTAGCCATGCTGGATCCCATCCTGTAGTTCTTAAAACAAAAATATTGATAGATGCTTAAAAAAAAAAAAAAAAAAAAGCCTGGCCAAGGATCAGGTCTATCAGCATTTGTATTCTTGTATTAACAGATGGTTTAAGAATTAACCTTGGTTTTCTTCCAGCCTGTCTTGAAGACCGGAAAATTCCAAGCTTTAATATTGCTCTTTGTTTTCACTACACCCAGAACTTCTTTTTGAAGAGTTAAAACCCTCAATGATATATATGGAAATATTAACAAGACAATAGCAAATTAAAAAAACTCTATATAGAAAAAATCCCACACACTATCACATTTACACAACCTAAATATTATTCTTTGTCTACTAGCAAAACTGGTTTGATATGCTGTACTGGCTTTGGCTGGGATACAGTTACATTTCTGCAGAGTAGCTTGTATGGGGCTATGTTTTGGATTTGTGCTGAAAACAGTGTTAACACACTAATATTTCAATTACTGCTGAAAGGTGCTTACACAGCCTCAAGGCCTTTTCTGCTTCTCAGACTGCCCTGCCAGCGAGCAGGCTGGGGGGGGGCACAAGGATTTGGGAGGGGACACAGCTGGGACAGCTGACCCCAACTGACCCAAGGGATATTCCAGACCATATGACATCATGCTCAGCATATAAAGCTGCGGGAAGAAGAAGGAAGGGGGACATTTGGAGTGATGGCGTTTGTCTTCACAAGTCACCGTTAGGTTTGATGAAGCCCTGCTGTCCTGGAGATGGCTGAACACCTGCCTGCCCATGGGAAGAGGGGAATGAATTCCTTGGTTTGCTTTGCTTGCGTGCACAGCTTTTGCTTTACCTATTAAACTGTCTTTAGCTCAACCTATGAGTTTTCTCACTTTTACCCTTCCGATTCTCTCCCTCATCCCACTGGGGAGGAACGAGCGAGCGGCGGGCTGGGGCTTGGCTGCCTGCTGTGGTTAAACCATGACATATGCTTACAGGCATGTGATTTAAAGTCTGAGAGGAGAAATCCAGGTAATTCCATTTATAAAAGTCTCTTCTACAAGAATTCATACTAGGATCTAATGTAGGTATGCATACATTAAAAAGTGCATGTAATCTAAGCACATTTGTCATCAATAAAACATTTGTTATTATAGTCTTAAAATTAATTTGGTTCTTCCAGCTACCCAGCACAACTCTTCTGTTTAGAAGGCCCTAAAAATCCTAATAATTCTTTTTTGAATTCTTCATGCCTACTCCCAAGTGACTTCCTTCTAGTTTCCTCTGCAATTCCCTTGTCAGCAAGACAATCTCCATGGAAAAGTCAGACATATCCAAACCACATATCTACAGAGTGGGAATTTCTTTGTTTCTCATACGTTCTAATTAAATGCCGCATGTATTTACTTCCTACACCTCTCAAACACAACCTAAAAAGGATCCTGCCTGGTAAAGCAGAACACGCATCCTTCACTTGCAGTCTCCTCACTCCTTCCCTTGACTCTGCTGCAGTGACTCCTCCCAGCTGGCTGTGCCGCAAACACAACCTACTCCAAGGCAATGCGCCCCTTTCCCCTCTCTTGCCTACCAGTCAGTTGCTCTTGAAGCTGAGCACTGCTCCTGACTGTTTTGAATGCTACTGATGCAACATCCAGTCTCCAGACAAAGGCCTTACATGCCAGGAAAATGACATAATATTCTACAGAAACATTCTGTATACTGCTTACAGTCAGGCTGCATGCAATAGTTTAGATTGCTCTACAGCCTTAGTGATGGTAAGACTAAGTCTAATGCATATATCAATACATATAAAAAATAAAAATATTGCTTGGTTTTAGTCCTCTAACATTCTCATGAGGCTGTTTTCACAGAATGGATTATGTCACGCATGCATACACAAAATCTGATTATGAATTATCTCAAACTACAATATACTTTAAACTTTGAGACCTAGTTCTCAGTATTTCATATATATTCAATATAGATTTCTTTTTGCCTAAAAAGAGAAATAAAATGACGTGCTAGATCAAGTCCAGTGAGAAAACATAAAACCGAACACTACCGCACTACGCCAGCAATTCGCAGAGAATGTTATTTCCAAAATCTCAAAGTCCAATACCCTAGAGCCATCTGCTCCGGCTCTGTCTTCCACATCAGCTTGGTCTCAACTGATAAGGAAACTCACATTTCCAAGTATTTGCCACACATTTAGCAACACAGTGTCTTGTGAAGGTTCCCTCTATCAGCTGGGAGAAGCCCAAGTCACTTCAGTGAAATCTGACAGTTACAGAACTAGCTCTAGCAGTTTCTTTGCAAACTACTAAAGGTTTTGATTTACTTGACTAATTCAGGAAACCATACTCAATAATCCTGCTCAGAAATCCTATGGTCCTGAAGCTGTTCAGCATTTTCAGAGGTCTGTCAAACGGGTTCCTATACAGTATAATACTGATCATAGTTACTGAATAAACTACATGAAAATACTTAGATTGGCTGAAACTTGCAAAAGAAATTCTTAATTTTGTGTTGTGTACAACTGAATTCAGCTGACCACTTTGAATGGATTCAGCATGGCAAGCTAATAAGCTGATCTTGACTATCAAGCTGACCTAGGCTGATATGTACATTGGCATTTTCCTTGTATTCCCTTGGAATCACCTAATTCTACATTTTGAAAACTTAACGCTTGTTACAACTGCACTGAACGTCAATGCTACAATCATCTGCTCCAAGAGACTGTTCTGCATGATGCCGATTTGTAAGGGAAACAAAGCTCCCCTCTCACTTTGCATGTGTGGTGGTACATTTCTTTCCCCCTCCCCAGGCTGATTCACAAACTTGGGAAGGCTCGCTATGCGTTAGCGTAAGTGTAATGAGTCAGGCAGTTAAGCGACCCTTGACTGTGCCAGGAACTCTTACACAGCTAAGACAGGGAGGTATGCTGTGCGTCTCATGGACTCCTGCTACACGGCAGAGGCGGGGGACAGGAGTAGAGATAGCTAGTTCTCATAACAACCTGCAGCCAGCTCTCTCTCATAACAACCTTGAGACATTACAGTCCTCCCCTGACAATCTTGGAGCATCCCGTATCTGTTATAAGCTATTCTCAGTCTCGGAATTTTCCAGCGCAGCTGGGATTCCAGCAATTTGTTGATGACAAAAGTCAATCATCTCCCGAACCTACAAGCAGTGGTACGAAGCGAGACCCTTTGAGCATTCCTGGACTGCAGCGGGCTGTGACCAGCATCTCCCTCTGAGCAGGACGCCTCTCGGAACTCTTCAGCTGGCAAAGATCAGAGGTCTGTGGCCAAAAGCCAACAGGACCGGGGCTGATACTCTCCGCTCCCTGAGGCTCAACCCTTCGCCCATTGAGAAGGATGCTGAAGCATTCAACGTGAATATTTTCACTGAACTCGAAGGGAATTTTTAACAGGTATACCTCTTTTAATTGCTTATGTATCTCTCTTAGTGCCTTTATGCACATGTGTCTGTACTATTTCAGTCGTGATTTTTTTCAATTGTGAGTGAATTTTAGGCTGCTATTATAATCCCTTTAGACATAAACCACTGACTAAGTCTGGGACTAGGAGTCAGTCCAGCCACACCTAGGCTCCAACAGGAATCTAGAAAGCAAGGGGGTCTTCTCTGAACCTTGTGACTCAACAGGAGGGTCTCCCTTACCCTTTCCCACACTCCTGACCTTTGCACAAATCACAAGAAACTAATTCTTTGTAACATTCCCTTTTACCCTATTACGTTTTTGGTCCCTATATACATAAGTTTAGTTTGATTCTAACTTAATTTTCCTGTGTGCATTTTATCCATGTAATAAGTAATAGAGTAAAACTTGCCACTGAATTCTCTGAGGTTGCACTTTCATATAAATTTCTATTAAATCATTTTCTTATTGCTCATACAATTGGGGGTGATTCTTTAAGCTATCTGAACCCCTCATTTCCCACCCCCAGGACAGCATGTCACATTAATATATTCTCTAAGTTACACTGTCTCTTTTTTTTCTTACTGCATATTATACTGGCTTGTCAGAACCTAATTTTCTTTGTATACTCACCTTTGGGAACTTCAGTCATTAGCATTACAATCTGAAAACTGTATCTTATAAACACCACAAGTCAAAGTTTTTTGCATACAAAAAAATCAAAATACAAAGCATACTCAGGCTTCAGATTTTTTAAGAATACTCACCTGGTTGGGAACTTTACTCCTGATTCGAGACCAAACTCCATCTTTGTAGAAATACTGGGCTGGCGACAAAAATTTTGACCTATATTCAGTGTTCATCTTCCTAAGAAATCAAGAATGAGGAGAGGAAAAAAAGACAGAAAGAGTAAAGCTTGATATCCAGAATGCTCTTTAAGAGCACTTTTAAAGTTCTATCAACAATCATAAGCATACTTGCACTTAAATGCCAGGGCTGAAATGCAAAAAACGCATGCTTTGAAACACAGCTCATCCATACCAACACAACTAGGAAAGCTATGAAAAAGGTCATTCACAGTTGGCAGCCCTTCAAGTAGTTACTCCTGTTGGTTTTTCCTCACAACCTTTCTACCAGAAGCTTTTGCCCTGACAGCCAAATCAGAAGAACATAATACACACATAAGCCTCAATTACTTCAACACAAAGTGAAGCATCTTGGTTTACGTCATTGATGAAGGTGCATTTAAGTAAAAATGCCTCGTCTGGCACTAATGTGTCCAAGACGTTTCTTTCTATGAATTCCACTCTAAAGGCGCTCTGCATATGGGTGGGGTGAACTGCTGGGGCTAGAAACGCCTGACTACCAGAACAATGGTCAGTATAATTTATTTATGTCCTACGGCCTTTGATCTTCAAAAGGCCTCAGTACTTGAAAAGATGGATTCATTTTGCCTTCTGCCACACACATACATACACAGACAAATTAACATCATCTAACCTATAGCAGGCAATAAGAAATACTTCAAGTCCTTAAGCACTGAACCGTGGATTTATCAGCCTAAATCTAAAAAGGTTTTTGTCTTTAATCTTGCTTCAGAACATTACTAACTTTATTTTAATATATACAGCACTGGGTGAAAAAGCCCTTTTTCAGTCCTTCTTCAGAAACAGATCCTAAAATCTGAAGTCAGAGAACAAAATGCACCTTGTAGAAAGAAAAATACCAAGGTAAAAAAACCTTTTATATTCAAAATTTCTTTCCATATGCCCCTTTCTTTGAAACTGACAGAATTCCTTCAGTTTTGGTTGCAAAACTAATGTATTAGCTCAAAAAACACATCACTGCTGTGCCTTGATCCCAGTCATTCTGCTGCAAAAGCAGGCCATGCAAGGCAGCTTGCATACAAAGTGACAGTCCTGCCTGCATATTGAGAACTTGCACATTTTGACAGCTATTTGCCCAGTGACTGTTTTGGAAACTTTTGTCCTGTGCTACCACACTGAAGATATAAGAGGCAGAAATTTGTCCTTAAATGAAAAAATCACAGCAAATTATGAAGAATTTTACACACTACTCACTGCAAAATTGACTACAATCTACTATGCCAAAGAGCTACGAAAACCAGAGTTAAAGGTTTTAACTACACTATAGCCACTCACCTTTTCATAAAGCAATTTTACTTCATAGAATTTTGGGTGATCATTTTGTAATTATCTCCCAATAGCCAACAGCATTCAGACCTAGGTAAGTCTCCTCTACCATCTTTAATCTAATGCCTTAACACTGCCAGAAAGTCATGTGAATGAAAGCAATCACTGGGACATTAAGCACAAAGATGGCAGAGATGGATTAATTTAAGCATTTTAAAACCTACACCCATTCTGGGTTTTTATTTCTCTTGGTGTATCTCAGATGTGTAGAAAATGGAAACATGAGTTCAGTTCCTGCAATGTAGGTATGTGGCAGAAGAAAAAGGTACTTTGATAGCACTCAGTAACATACAATTTCATTTTGTTTCCATGTTTGTCAGGTTACCCTAAATGGGACAGATTTCTTTACTTCCCTTTACCTCATGTGTTTGCTTTTGTTACTCTGGGACAGAAGGTGGTACAGACTAGAAAAAGCAGACATCAGTTACAATCATCACAGTTTTAAGGAGTGGAGCAAGCACAGGAGAGTAGTTTGAAAGGTGACTACAACTTTCAAAACACTCGCTGAAAGTCTAGTAGCAGCACTGCACCAATTAAATTTCATTCATGTTGAATTTATTAATAATATTATTACTGCATCAGAAGGTTCAAGAGAACGAGTGTGGTTACACAGCTTCCACTTCCTCTGCCCAGGGAAGGGGATGGAAATTAACACCAGGTTTAGATGTACCCAGAGGAAGCTCAATCCCAGCACTACAAGGCGGCATCTGCCCTGCAACTGTAGCATGGCATGGTTAAAGGTCCATCGGTCTAAACACTAGGCTGCTGTACACCTATTCACTAGGCTAGGTTTTCCTATTTCATACATACCCACGACTTGTATGTAAAGAGAGGGGCTTTGGACTGATATGTTGCTTATTTTTTTGTTTAGGATGTTTCTGTTCTGATTTCCCTTGTTTTGCTGCATCTTCTGCTGGCTTTTGAAATGGTTCTTCCCTCTTACTCTAAGGCAAAGATAATTTTAAAAATACCACATTAGCTAACAATCTGAAAACCCTCATATTCCTTTTGACATCAAGCTTTTGCAAAAAGTTAATTTATTATAGCGTTAGCTGTTTTGCATATTTAATACAAACAAGAATATTACATTCTTTTGTTAATACAAAAATAAACTAGCAAAATGCCAAAGCTAAGATTCTGAGTGCAACATCCATTTAGTTAGTTGATCCATTTTGTACACTTTACAAAATGAATTTAACATGAAACAGAAATAAAATAATACGATACCTGCGCATTCTAACCCGAGTTGTGTAAGACTTAACATGTATATTTCTGGGATTTGTAATAAATAAGAAACCAAAAACTCTTAGCTTTATAGTCAAGCAATATAAACCAATTTATAATAAACCAAAAGGCAAATGTTTAATTTGCTGCCATTCTGGTTTATAAAGGGTCAGATTGACTTGTTCAGTTTTCACACTAAAGGGTTTTTTTTCATGCTTGTTTTATCCTCTTGGAAATCTCATGCATGATTTCTGATTCTGCTAGAGATCTTTACAGATATTGTTCAAATTCAAGGAAAAAAAAAAAAAGGAAAGCAAAATAAAAAAAAGCCCACCAAAATCCCCCAAAATTTTTTCAAGATATTCATCGGAGAAGAGATGTTGGTATAAACAAAAAGTGTTTCAGATGCTTTCACCAAAATTCCCTTCTCATGTCTTCTCTTCCTTTACTTTATTAGCTCTCTTGGGAAAACATAACCTGAATTTCCAGTGTTAAAAACAAAGAAATGCTTCCCATGCCTTTCAAGCTTTCCTCACATCTGCTAGAAGAGGCAAAAGGGGACATAAATTTCCTCATTCCCAGATTTAAAGCACTGGGCAGGTCTGAGTTTTAAATGATAAACCCTCCAAGCCAACAATCATCTTTAAGAACCTCCAATGTACCAATGGCTTAAACTGAGCCACAGGCACTCCATGTTAAGTATGCATTTTGCTCAGTAATGGTCTTAGTGAACATGTTGTCTGATAATGGCTCTTTCTGTTTATCAAGGAACAGAGATGGATACTGAAGAGGCTCATACATGGTCCTTTTACCTGAAGGATGATTAGCTAACCTGCAGGAATTCAGACAACACTACACTTGGCAGCTTGCTACAAAAACAGACACTCACATGTCCACCTTGCAAAATAGGTTAGCTGTCATGCAGCCTAAATTGCTCTCGCCTATTTTTAAAAGGTCTCAACCTGAAACAATTTCTTTTCATTAAACGTATTTGGTAGAATGGCCATAGCCATGTTTCCTAAAAGTCCACTTAAATTTGTTCAAGCCAAGAGCAAAACAAGGAAATGCAAGGCCTCAGACAGCCAAATCACTTTCATAAAAGACATTTTAATGTTTTGAACTGAGTAACAGAGCCTATGCAGACTACACAATGTCCTGTTATAGCCCTCTCCTAAACACAATTACTCACCTTTCAACTTATCAAGGCAAAGGGAAATTAATTGTAACCTTTCCTCCATGTTTCTTCAAATTACAACTATTGGCTGAAAATCAGTTCTAACTGTGGCATCTTCCATACATCAAAATATTTTTTTTAATTCACACTATGTACACTATATCTGATTTATGAGATCCAAAAAGTTCCAGACCTCCCATCCAGCCCTCCTGCATACCAAGAGACTGCACTGGTACCAATGAGAGTATAAATCAGAGATCTAGATTTCAGAAACTATCCTAACAACCAGAAACAAAGTTTCAACTAAAAAAAAAAAAAAAAACCACCCACACTTGAAAACTCATAAATTAAGGTGACAGGAAAAACACACTTAAAATGTCATTGTAAACTGAACAAATGCACTACAGAAACTACAGAACCCACTACAGAAATCCGTAAGAGCAAACAGAGCTGTACAGTGTTAAGTCTTTTATAGCAAAACCACTACTGAGTCCAGTGTCATTAGCAACAGCTCTAAACTAAAAAAATTCAAAATAAACCCACCCCTGCATTATAGAAAAGAACAATCAAAATTATATAAGTATACTAATGCCTTTCTTTTAGGGCTTTACTTGTTCACAAACTGGAAATTCCTTCTCTTCTGAACCACCTCTTTCTTGTGGACCCTTAACGGGAGGAGACCCTTTGAAATTTCTCTCATGTGCAGTTTCAGAAGTAATTGCAGGAGATTTAAATGGAGGTATGGATTTACTTGTGTTGCTAATAACCTGGGGGGGAAAGAAAACAACAACAACAACAACAAAAGTGTGATTTGCTTACCTTCAGGCTAAATTTTCAAAATCACTTAACCACTTCAAGTAAATACACTCACATAAGAGGAGAGGCGGTCACGTGTACAAATACAGCAAGTGCAGACTAATTAACTTCCAGGACAAATTAAAGAGAAACTTATTTGATAGAAATACATTTAAAAGCATACAAGTCAGATGCAGTTAAACCTGTGGTCAAATGCTGTTCTTGCTGAAGTTCACTAACAGAGATTTTATTCATTTGGGAAGACAGTTCACCTTGAGTTGTATGTAGGATCCTATTTTTTAAAACATATGCCATTAAACTTCCCTGTGAGTCCTCAGTACACGCCTAGTCCACAAGTAACAGACAACTGTTCTGTGTTTTAAAACTGGAAGCTTAGGGCTTGCATAATTTGAGCTATCCACTATTTTTCAGTCAATATGGTATTATAAACCAAGGTGGAGAATTTTCCTAATACACAGTCAGGTATCATCTCCTCATGGGGTGCTGAATTAAAAGACCATGTCCTATGTCACAAGCATACATTTTCCCCAGCTTTGCTAAGAGAGTTTAGGTCTGACTTATAACCTGACTTGGATAACTTTGATATTTTCACAGAACCTCTTCAAGGGAAAGGTATTGTCAGTATTCAGCGTTAGGTATATTCTCCATTATATCAATAGCAATCAAAAAAATATCAGTTTGTTAATATGTATAACTTTTATCATGAAATTCTAATCTTAAGTTTAGAACCTGCAAACATTTATACATATTTAGATTGTCTCTAAGTTCTATTTATCTAAGGATTTATAGTGCCTATAGACTTATTCTTACAGCTTCTTATTCTGTATAAGCTGTGAAAAAAAGGTTTTAGATTTCAGTGTTTCTTCTGAAATAGCACAATGTTCAAAAGCATCAGTAATTAAATTATCAAACTGATTTCTAATAGAATCAAATGGAATTCTCTACAAAATTTTCTGTAAGGTGACTTTCTGTGATCTGCCTCTTCCTCAAATGGTCCTTTGACTTCTATACTGTTGTCATGCATTTCAGTGAGTTTTCCTTGGATAAGGGACTGCTGGGAAACAGGTATCTCACAGTAAGTCAACCTGCTTGGCATTCCAGCAGAAAAAGACAGGACAGTGATCAATCCTGGTTATCAACATTTATTGCCTCTGAAAGCTGTTACTGAACAAATCTGCTACCTGTGGGTAAAAACAGAGAGCTCACCATCTGCAGTAATCCCATTAATGTATATGCTCCTAGTGAAGAAACAGAAGATAAAATAAAAGCAAAGTGCCTATTTTATACTGTAAAATGACCAAAAGATGGACTGAGTCTCTGAAGTCCTGATCCCAGTAACAATGAATTGAAAACACAAAGCAGTCTCACAATCAGAGTTACTCTGTGGCCTGATTAGAAATAGCAGTATTTCCAATCCTACAAAGTCCCAAAACTCATGAGATGTATTAAAATGCCACAAGAGTATCTTAAAATCAGAGGATTCCACTTTTAAATATAAACACTTCTCATGAAAGAAAAAAACACTACAGAGGCGCACTTTAGAGCTTGGAAGTATATATGCACAAAGATGGAGACTGAGAATAAGAAACTGTGGTAACCCATAAAAGACCATGAGAATAAATAGTGAAACCTGAATGATTTCAGTGGCAAGACATGTTGTTAAAATACAGAACACCTGAATATTCCTCTGTTGATTAGCTATATGCTAGATAACATAAAAATTATAAAAATGAAGGGTAACATTGAGTAGGATCTTAGTGCTCCTAAGGTAACTTAATGCAAACGGAAAAAAATGGTCCTGTTAGAAAGGATGGAATACAACCAGGGATAAGGAAAATGAGTAATTAGACCTGACTACAATAAAGAATCACAGGGAAACAAATCTAATTATACTGCACTTCTGTATATCGAGAGAAAAAAAAAATAAATCACGTAACAACATTCAAGTTTGTCATTCCCCTGCCAAAAGAGAAAGAAAGGAAATCTTGGAAGGTAAGCAACTTTGCTGATATATAAAAGAAAGTATTCATTTACTTTCTGGATTCTTTAAAGTTACCTGTTCAGCTGCAAGTATTGGTGACTTTTCATGAGGACTCTTCCAAACAAATTGGCTTTGATATTCAGAATTTCTGGGAAAAGTATTTAAACGTGAAATATTCATGCCTGCTTTCCTCTGAAGGACTCTGTGAAGCTGACAACATGAAAAAAGAAAAAAAATAACACCAGTTGTTCCCTTTCCTACAATGTTTTGCAAGTCAGATATCTTTCAATGCACACCTTCAAACCAATGGTTTGGGTTTTGGTTGTATGAATTAAATGAACGCAAAGTACATTTTCTCATTATAGCCAACAACCCCAAACAGTCTATATATTATTGGCTAAATCCTTGTTTAGCTGAAATCAATAGGGATGGCACATGAAGGGCATTTCCTATTGACCTAAGTGGAACCAAAATCTGGTCTCAAAAGTACTGTTCTCCCAACAGAGAAGCTACAACATAGAATATCAAAACACAGAACTAAGAAGAGAGTTAGACAACAAAGGCTGGTGTATGTGCATTAAATTACCCTAAGTATCAGATTAGTAATTTTTATATTGGTCAATTAAAAAAAAAAAAAAAAAAATAAATCTTCCCTTACCCCATTACCCATTTTTTCTAATTCCTTTTTTGGAGATGAAAGTGCTTCATTTTGATTTGCTGAAGCTGCAGAAGGTGATCTCTTCATGTTGTTTTCTGCAAGGGCAAGGGCTGTTTCACCTTTAGAGTCTACTGAATGTGACCAAACTTCTCGGGGGAGTCTGGGTCCTTCTGGCGTTTCAATTTTTTCCTGATTCACATCATTGTTGTTGTGGTCTGTGTGCAACTCTGCAGTTCTAAGAACTTCAGTTTCAAGTGGGTCATTCAAATCACAATCTGCTGTCCATTCAAAGGACTTTGAAATCTGTGGATTATGGTAAGGTACCCTTCTCTTGGAAATGAAGTTTGGTTCTCTCGTGATTCCTGAAAAAGACATATTAGGTTTAATAAAAACATTCTACTGAAGACATAATATGACTCTATTACCAGACTGAACTAAAAGTTTATCATACAACTGATTATTAGAAAAAACTATTTTAGTATCTTTGAGCAATGACAGCCTATGAATTACGGGCACGGTTGTGAAATTCTGTCTTCTTTCCCTGTCTGTGAATGCCTTTCTTTTCCACTAGAGACAGGAACATGGTGCTCCAGGACCATGTTGGATAAAACCCTATAAAGCAAATATGGCCAGAGGACAATCTTTTGCAAGTTGATTCTGGGAGCTGAACAACAACAAAATTAACACAGCCAGTGAAAAGAATGTGGTTCACAGAGAATAACCAACCTGCAGTGATAAAGTATGCCACAAACACTTCTCATTACACATACACAATACACCTTGCTGAACAGGTTCTCACCGATTGTGACAGGACAGTGACAGATTCCTATCCATCTAATACAACTGTGATTTAAAACCATCTCATATAGCTGGTGGCTTTTTACAGTACAAACAAAAAAACATTTCCAAAATTGTAAAAAGACTATGTAACAAAACCAGGTATCAAATTATTTTAAAGAATTGCTGGTCTTTACATGTGCAGATGAAAATAAAATTACCCCACTATTTTAAGAGGAGGATTGAATGACTGAACACATTTAAAGCAGGAAATCATAATCCAACTGCAATGTGCTCAACTGTGACGGAAAAACAAGTGAAGGCCCCTAACTGGCTGAAAAAAACACTTTCTAGGAGAGAGAGAAACTCCTATCTCACTAAAAAGCAATGTAGAGAGAACAACCAACAGTGAAAGATATACAGACTGTCTGGATGTCCGACTACACATACAGGTGGTAGGAAACAACCTCAGTGGAAAAACACTGGAAAAGTAGCAGGAAGGAATGCAGAGCACCTGCAGCTGTTAACTTTTTGTGGTGATGTTCCAAGTCATTCTTAAAACTACCAACTATGTGTTTCAACAGGAAAAAACAGAAGTAAATTATCAATAACAACCTGCAAGTCCTATGAGGTGTCAAGAGCAACATTTGAAGATGTAGATGGTTAAATGACCAGAAAAGAGGTGGGAGTGAAAATGAACACAAAGGTGTACAAAAACTATACCAAGGATGCACAAAAACACTGCTACAACATGAGGAGGAGAAACTGCTGTATTGCTAACTTAGGACTTTATTGCAAGTCTTGTAAAATTTTCAGGGTTTTTTGACTTAAAAGAAGCATGGGTTACAATTTTAAAATGAAGTTAATGCGTTTGGATGTTTGGGTGTTTCAGAATTCGTGGAAGTTATACTTTTAAACACAGGTACCCATACACAGAGCCATGTGCTAGGGAAAGCAAGATTAAAGAAATATGTATTTTGCAGTAATGGAAGAAAGCAGTAATATATGTAACACACAAACTTTCGCATGACTGAATTATTTAATAAAATGTCTAGCATCTTGACGAAAAACAAACCCTACTCCCAGTGGTCAGTTCTTAATTACTACGCCGTAATTTAGAACACTTATCATACTGTAGGAATGAATATATTGGACTCTAATTACACGGACTGCATAGTGCGGTTGCACTGAATTGCACAACTTTGTTAATCTGTCTTGTGCCACTACAAGAATTACTACATTTTACTGCTCCTTTTCAAAGCACTGCAGTTGTCATCACTCTCCAGCTTACTCCTATTCCTCAACTCCCTATGGGCCTTTCAATCCAGATGCTATTTCCTTTGTCTTCTACTTCCCAGCCCCACATTTTCCTGCCATGATAAAGTCTACAACCCCTAACTCCTAGACGACAGCATCACAAGCTTTTCCGTTTAATGCTCATGGGTTTGTTTTTTTTTTCAGTTAGCTGTCCCTGTTAGTCTTCATAACAATTTCACTTTCTATCAAACTTTGCCCCAAGTTAGTCTCCTATTAGATACGGAATTTTACGTGGTGTTTCCATGCACCACAGGTAACCCAATGCCTCCTCCTACACACCCTGTATGGGTTAACACTTCACCTGTGGTTCATGTTTGAGACTCAGCTTACACTGTATGTCAGAAACCACGTATTTTTCAGGTTTTATATCAACAGCACTAAGGTGAAAGCAAGTTTCAGTGCAGCCAGAAAGAATATGGCATTCAAAAACATATTCTTAAATGATGACCAGGAATATGCTTTTAACTATATAAAGTGCACAAAGTGCAAACGCTACCAGCTCACTGTGGCCGTGCGCTCAATCACAGCAAACCTCTCCAGGCCTCCTGTGGGCCAGGCTCATCCTTACCAGAGCCGGCTTGGACAGCGCCGGGGTTTGCAATTGGGGGTGCAGCTTTCAGGGGCGCTTACCAAACTGATCCGACCGAAGTCCTGCCCACAAGGATTTCTGCTGTTGGGACGGGCTACAAAACTCTGGGGTTTTCCATCTGAAGTTTCTCTTATATTCACTCAGTCCCTGCAGCAAACAGAGAGGTGTCTGTCAAGTGAGGGGTGCATGTCCTGCTTCTGCTGGGAACAGATCGCGGAGGGGAGAAACACCAACAAGGCCGCTGCGGGATTCAGCTAAGCCGGCGGGTTGCTCTGCATCTTCCAAACCCACCCCCCATCGAAGAGCAAAAACTACTTGATCGCTCTGCAGAACGAGCGTGGAATAATTTCAGGCACCAACAGGTATGCCTAAAACTGACTCGTATCTTCAAGCGAATAAAGCTTCAGAACAAACACAGCCTGAACCCTCCGCCCCCCGCACGACTGAACTCTTACGCTTTTTATTCACCGCCGCTCCTCAGCACAAGGGTCTCCCGCTTTACCGGCGGCACCCC